CCGGCGCCCAATCCCCACCACTGCTCAGTCCCTCCGACTGCTTCGCCCCGAGACTACCGTGGGTCCACCCCACGTCGTCACTCCGCCCGTCCTTGGGCTCGTCGAGCCTGTTCGGCGCCACGAACTTTCGCGCATAGCTCGCGCAGCGTTACAGCCGAGATAAAAAAGAGAGAGAGGAGAGGGTTGCGCGAATTTATAGTGCGGGAGGCGGCGGGTTGTCAGCGCGAGGTGCGGGCAGCGCTGGTTGTAGATGAGCAGGACAGGAGGAAGGTGGGGAGTTAGAGGGTTCGACCCGCGGGATGGCATGGTCGTACGTGATTGGGGTGTCCGTTCAAGTGGTGCGTGGTTTCCCGCTCTCCACATTGATCCGAGCATCCCAACTACGCGGCCAATCACTTCGCGGAGTAATTATCGAGCTGGGGGGGGAGGGGAAGACGAAGAGTCCTGCATGGGGGAAGTGCGCGCAGCAAGAAGGGAAGATGGCGCGGGGATGCAAAGCAAGAACCGGGGGTGCGAGACGCGCGAAGAAGTCGGAGCTTAGGCGCGCGCGCGCGTGCAAATTCAAAAAGTCCCCACCGAAACCGTTTCTTGGTTTTCATACCATGGCCGCTATTCTCCCGCGCGGGAGTTATTAACCAAAAATGAAAAAGCCGTTTCAAAAAGGAAAACAAAAGCAAAAAGAAAGAAAAAACCCTGTTTGTCCGCATCCGTGCCTCGGGGCTTCCGGGGGATTTTTCCCCAGGGATACGGGAAGTCGCGCGGTACGGGTCTGAGCTTATCACAAGCTCTCTTCAATCAACCTCCACCCCACCTTCCCGAAGTGGATTCTATTCTTCATTCACTTTTTTATTTTATTTTTTTTAAGTAGCTTCTGTTCTTCATTCACTTTTTTTTTTTTTTTTTTTCGTGGCTTTTGTTCTTCATTCGCCTTTTTTTTTTTTTTTTTTGTGTGTGTCTGTGTGTGTTAAAGAACAATAGAATGCAAGTTACTAGGTGGTTTACGGTGGTTACACCTTCACTCTTGCGTTCCCACTGCTTTATGGTGCTCAGAAAAAGGCATGGCATTGTGGATATCCGGGTCTCTCGTGATATTATCTGTTCTCATCATAGCTTAGAAGACTGGTTACATCCCTGGTGGTAGTGTGTCATTGCCAACCTGAGGGGGGTCTGGGATTGTTTAATTGAGATCTGGTCTAAGAAGGCCTACAACGCCTCCGAGTCGGAGTTTTGGAATCAGAACCTGGTCATCACAAGTAGAGTTGAACAGCATTACTGGAAGCATCAGGCAAGGAAAGTCATTGTGGCTATGCTGTTCATCAAGTCATCAAAAGGCAAGGCATCAGGCAAGGAATCACAGTCATCATAAGGTCTACGGGTAGTTAGGATATCCTGGAAGTACAAATATGCATATTCGCACATTACTTCCAAGTCCGTGAAAATCTGCGGAGAGATAGAGAAGTGGTGGAAATCTGCGGAGAGTAGAGGTTTTACTCTCACAGCATTACTACATGATCTTGAAACCCCCTCAATTGATGAGCCGGCTAACTGGCAGTGACCGAAACTAGTAGTGGATGGCCAGCTCCTTTGTCTCCTGGGCCAAGGTCCCACTAGCAACAAGGATCGGATTGAATGCCGGAATCCGGATTACAGAAAGATGCAGAAAAGCAGTTCAATCTCGATTTCCTGCACCTGTGCACAAGCACGTCCAGATTCAGGCATTCAATCCGATCCTGCACCTGTGCACAGACACTTCCAGATTCAGGCATTCAATCCGATTACATCGAGGAGGACGAGGGTGCCATCATAGTAGAGAATAACTCAACGCAACATGAAGCCAAATGAATTATGGCAATTCATTCAGACCGAGACATGGAGAGAAACGAGAAAGAAATAAACGCAAAAGTCCCCCGAGCGCAATCAGCTCGTATGAAATTCAAAGTTAAGCTGATACAGTGCGAAAGATGGCGCGAGGCGCCATAGCTTGAAGTAACTGGCGTGCACCCTACGTACGTTTCGGCCGGTTCGCCAGTGCACCGGCCATCGTCAGGGGTAGCGCTGGTGACAAATCAAAGAAAGAGTACCTACATAGTATCAACAAACAGCCGTGAGTACCCCCGGAACAACTGAAGAAACGTACTGCCTGCCTCGAAACCCGGGACTGACCCGGTACCTCTAGACAAAGGGAACCCACCGATGAAAGTAAGGCCTATTCTATCCAACCGGTCAGGCAGCGGACCCAGGTCGCCCAGTCCCCGCCTATTTTGGAATTGAAGGCTATCAGAGCCTTGTCAAAAATGCTGTCAGGAAAATCCTTGGCCCGAAGCTCCATTTTCAGACTAAATAAAAAGGCCAACTCTGAAGCAGGCAAATTGCCCATGTCATAAGCTTTATGAAAGAAGGAGGTAACAACCGCGGACTTCTGCTGCTTGCTACTAAAGGAGTGATAATTCTGCCGTCCCCACGAAGGATACATTCCTGATTTTTATGTAAAGCCTGACAGTATACCCTCGGAGGACGCTGTCCTACCAATATCTGACATCCCAAATATGGCCATTGCATCCCTTCACTCGTTCTCCCCAATACGAGATGCTTATCATAACAAGATTCTGCAAACATCGAAAGAATATCCTCAGCTTTAGCCTTGGAGTTTAAATCATCTATCCTATATTTAACAAAAATGGAAACGTCATCAATAAGGCGACAACCTTTAACCAAACGAGCATCATTGCCCAACCCTTTCAAAAAAAAGTGAACTCATTAAGTACACACATTAGACAGGCTAGGGCCGGGCTTAAAGATTTGTCCATAGGAATTCCCAGGTTCTGCTTGAGGACGCAACCTCCAGCCATTGTAAAGGTGTTCGCCAAATTATATTGAATAAACCTAATAAAAAAAGAAAACTTAACTGATTTGTACCCAACTTCGTTGGCCGCAGTCTTAGATAGCCGGACCAGTTTTTTTCGTGAGTGAACCAAACACTTATAGTATCTCTTCTCTTCGAACAAACTGACCGTCCATTCAACTGCTGCAATTATAGTTGAATGCGGTAACTAACAAAACATTTCCTTAACGTCGAAGCAGCCAGCCAGAATTCCTTCGTTACTGTCGATATCCATGTTGACCCTATCAAAAAAACGGGGCAAAAGATTCGTACTACGCAGATTAAAGTGACTAAAGCAGGGAAGACGCATTAAAAACGTATTAACACAAGAGGCTTCTAACTTCGCAGGACGCCAAAAGGGCTCCGAACAAGAGGGGCATATTGGTCTCCATTTGTTCACATTTTTATGCTTAGGAATAACACACGATCTACCCAACTTTCCGCTTGAAAACCAAGGGGCGATCTGCATCAGTTTCGTTTTCGTGTATAAGTCCTTACACCTACCCAACACCACAGACTCATCCTCCTCTAAAACCTGCAAACCAAGATTCTCAGAGAACAGTTTGACCATCCCGCATGCATATACAACCGGACAACAAGCATAGGTGTCTCCCGCATTATGATCTAAAGGGCATAGCACCAGCCCCTCGAGTCTCTTCAAAGAAACAGAAATCTCATCCTCAGTGATGTATCAACATGCTCCTTGATTGGTGGACAGACAACCTAACAGATCAACTTCCGGGAAATCTACAACAGTTCCAAAGAATTTGGTGAGAGAGGATTGAATTTGCCTACCAAGACTTCTAGTATTTACGGAGTAGTTAGGGGAAATAATATCCTTAGAATTAAGCAAGCAGGAGGGCAAAGACGAGGTCAATTGACTGAATCGGAAGGAAACATGCCCATCAATACGGGGAAGCTCAGGTTTCACCTCCCCACACGAGCATTCATGATTGCGGACCGATGCAAACTTCCAGAAGTTATGCACCAAGCCTCCGACACAGCGATTCCTAACCCAGACCAATCTAAAACGTCGGCACACGAGCTCCAAATAAGACGAAGGGAAATTTAGACTGCGGATAATATTAACACATAACTCCCTAATCCTACTCCAAATTAATCTATGATCGAATCTAACTTTAACAGTCAACCTAGCAGATAGACATAGCGAGAATTTCCTTCGGCAAGCATGGGACAGGACAAGCCTAATAGTAGATCTAGAACGTTTATTAGAGATGACGCGAGTAGCATTGTAATACCTAGCAAAGGTGGGAAGATCACAGTGAGTAAGCTCTTTCCTAGACGACGGAATACTGAGCAGCTTTATCAGAGTAGTTTTAAATGGCAAGACGATAGAGCAGAAGCGTGAAATGGTATGGAAAGAAATAGTGGAGTGGACCCGGAACCAAGCTCGATAATTTTTGAGAAGAGATAAAGGTAGATTGGCAGTGGAGGCAGTGGAGGACCCGAAGCAGCGCTTGATTAACTTCCATTTATCAGAGAACCGAGAACCCGAGATGATCGAAACAGAAAAGGGAAGGGGAATCTTATTATCCAAGGTTTCCTGAAGAATTGCGATAAGGCTAACAGATGAGAAACCGAATGATGATGTAAACTTGAAGGGGGCCAGATCCAACCTCGCTACCGACACAGTATTGCTGCGTAACCTTCTCCTAGCCCGTTCCTTTTTGCCTGGGCGACATGCCTTATTCGAACGTTTCCTTTTGACTGCCGAGTTGAGGGTCGGGCAAACCGAATTAATGAAAAATCGCTCTGTCCCTAACAAATCCCGCCTCTCTGTGGAAAAAATAGGAATGGCAACGTAATTATGAATCCCAACCCGGCATAACCACCTATAGAGTTTCCTGTTTCCCTTGCTTTTTCCATAGGGTTTGGCCGAAGTAACGTGCTCCTTCCAGCGACTGACGAGAGACCTGGTTGTACATCCTACATAGATATGGCGGTACCAAGGGAAGACTAGGGCATAGACCACAGGACCGGGACAAAGATCAAATTCGTAACCACTACGGAGCAAGGATTAAAGAAGGTCTACGAACTTGCTGCACCAAGAAATCTCACCTCGAAGAATCAACAGGATAACTACAAGCCGATGAATAAACTGAACCTTGGCTGCGGGAAAATCATCTGGAAAATCTCGACAAAAACGGGCCAGCTCCCATAGATCTGAAGCACTCAGGGAGTGCCCTCATCCCTCGTTGACTTCCTCAGTAGAGGTGGCATAGTTCAACTCCCGATCTTCGTCATCTTCGTCAGTTTTCTGTTTACCCTGCCGCTCCTTATCCTGCAGCCAGGAGTCATAATCCCGCCTAGCCCTGATCTCGGCTACATCGGTCTTGGCTTGGTCCATCTTGAAGTAGCTGATCCCTTCTTCTTCACAGGCAAGCTCCATGTCCGCCTTCTTGGCTGGGCGGAGTTCCTTCAAACGTACCTCCCGAAACTCCCGCACCTTGGCTTCCTCGAGATCATGTGCAACCTCAACTATAGGGCGCGCATTACTCTTGTCCCCTCCCTGATTCCGATTCGGTCCATCCCCATCGTCTTCCGATTCGATCTCAACGGCCTGAAAGCTTGTCCTCAAGTTCCTAGGAGCGGACTTCCAGGCGGAGGCCTTGCGCGCACTGCAGTGTATCCAAGAGGCAGCCAATCTCGCCACTCGTTCCTTAGCCATCTCGGCTTCTTTCAAGGCCATGTCTTTGGCTTCCAGAGCCTGCTTATACGCCTTCCGCAGGGCCTCCAAATCCTTCGGGGTATACATGGCCGATAAGCTCGGATTAACTTTCTGTTTTCCCTTGGCTGATTCCTCGGGAGGGCTGCTCTCGGTTACAGTCGCGACGTCTCTTTTGCCACGCATGGATGCAATTTCATCCCACAACTCTCGAAAGTCCTTCCTGAGATGACTGTTCTCCGTCTTAAGCTGCGCCAACTCAGCGTTTTTCTCCTCCAGCGCCGATCGAATCTGGCTCAACTCCTTAATCTGCAGTTGCATAGCCAAGATCTCATCCTCCCTTCCCACGTCCGATTTTTCTTTCCCACCATCCTGCCGACTTTTTAGTTCGACAATCTCCTGCCGCAGGCGTTCCTCTTCGCTTTCTTAATTCTTCCTCTTTAGCAAAGCATCTTTCTCGCTCCGCAAAGCTTCAATCCGAGATTCATTATTTCCTCCCGCCACTTGTACTTTCAACCCTTCCAACTCCTTCCGTAATTTATCAACCTCCCCGTCCTCATCATCGGGGATATCAACCTTCCTGCCCAACGCAGATTCACACACAGCCTTAACACTACTTCTAACAATCTGTCCTAATCATGCTTCCTGCTGCTCTCTTTCCTTAACCGCCTGAACACGTTTGTCTTCTTCTGCCTGGAGTCTTTTCTTCTCTTCTTGCAAGAGCTCAAGCTGCGCAGCCTCCCGCTTCCGCTGTTCCCGTTCTTCAATCTGCTCGGACATAAGTTCGAACAGTCTGTCGATCTTCTCATCCCTGTCGCGATCCCGATCCTTGTAACCTCCGTTCCATGGCTTGGAGTAACGTTGCCTACTATTATCGTAGCCCCCGCTGTAGCTGTTGCCAGAGTAGCCCTTGCTCTGTGGTGCGACATAAGGCACGATAGCGTTAGAGCTACTAGGCGCAGGCAACAATCCCCCGCTATCTCCCCGACCGACTCCACCCATAGCTTCTTGGATGCGAGCCGCCATTTCCCCACCGTTAGGTTGCCCGTGGAACGGACACTCCCGTATGAAGTGGCATGGTAGCTTGCAAAAGTGACAAACGCAGTAACCCGCCATCCTCGTAGATCCCAAGGGACTAACTCGTCCCGCTTGATAAAGCCTCGAACAAAAAAGCCTATAACGACCGTTCGCATATAAAAGGTGATAAAGAAGGAGAGACGAGAAATGATGAAGAAAGGCAAAGGCACGGGGCAGACGGTAAGTTGAAGAGCACAGTCACTCGAACGAGGTGAGAAATCCCCTGCCGGTTTTTGTGTGAATGTCGCAGTCGAAAATAACTCAACGCAACATGAAGCCAAATGAATTATGGCAATTCATTCAGACAGAGACATGGAGAGAAACGAGAGAGAAATAAACGCAAAAGTCCCCCGAGCGCAATCAGCTCGTATGAAATTCAAAGTTAAGCTGATACAGTGCGAAAGATGGCGCGAGGCGCCATAGC